CCACTCAGGTCGGGAAGTGGTAGTCCACCAGGGGTCGGTGGTCCACTCGGGTCGGGAAGTGGTAGTCCTCCACCAGGGATCTGTGGTCCACTCGGGTTGGGAAGTGGAAGTCCTCCACCAGGGCTCTGTGGTCACCTCAGGTCGGGAAGTGGTAGTCCTCCACCAGGGCTCTGTGGTCACCTCAGGTCGGGAAGTGGTAGTCCTCCACCAGGGGTCGGTGGTCGGTCGGGAAGTGGTAGTCTCCACCAGGGGTCGGGTGGTCCACTCAGGTCGGGAAAGTGGTAGTCTCCACCAGGGGTCGGTGTCCACTCGGGTCGGGAAGTGGTAGTCCTCCACCAGGGGGCTGTGGTCCAACTCGGTCGGGAAGTGGTAGTCCTCCACCAGGGGTCTGTGGTCCACTCAGGTCGGTCACCTAGTCCAAGTCGGGGTCGGTGGTCACCTCAGGTCGGGAAGTGGTAGTCCTCCACCAGGGGTCGGTGGTCACCTCAGGTCGGGAAGTGGTAGTCCTCCACCAGGGGTCGGTGGTCACCTCAGGTCGGGAAGTGGTAGTCCTCCACCAGGGGTCTGTGGTCCTCAGGTCGGGAAGTGGTAGTCCTCCACCAGGGGTCGGTGGTCCACTCGGGTCGGGAAGTGGTAGTCCTCCACCAGGGTCAGTGGTCACTCGGGTCGGGAAGTGGAAGTGCCTCCACCAGGGGTCGTGGTCACCAGGTCAGGTCGGGAAGTGGTAGTCCTCCACCAGGGTCTGTGGTCACCGGGTGTAGTCCTCCACCAGGGGTCGGTGGTCCACTCGGTCGGGAAGTGGTAGTCCTTACCAGGTCTCAGGGAAACGGGTCGTAGTCCTCCAGGGGGTCTGTGGTCACACGGTCTCCACCAGGGTCTGTGGTCCACTCGGGTTGGGAAGTGGTAGTCCTCCACCAGGGGTCGGTGGTCCACTCGGTCGGGGAAGTGGTAGTCCTCCACCAGGGGTCTGTGGTCACCTCAGGTCGGGAAGTGGTAGTCCTCCACCAGGGGTCTGTGGTCCTCAGGTCGGGAAGTGGTAGTCCTCCACCAGGGGTCGGTGGTCACCTCAGGTCGGGAAGTGGTAGTCCTCCACCAGGGGTCGGTGGTCCACCTCAGGGTCGGGAAGTGGTAGTCCTCCACCAGGGGTCTGTGGTCACCTCAGGTCGGGAAGTGGTAGTCCTCCACCAGGGGTCTGTGGTCCACTCGGGTCGGGAAGTGGTAGTCCTCCCCAGGGGTCCACTCGGGTCGGGAAGTGGTAGTCCTCCACCAGGGGTCGGTGGTCCACTCAGGTCGGGAAGTGGAAGTCCTCCACCAGGGGTCTGTGGTCACCTCAGGTCGGGAAGTGGTAGTCCCACCAGGGGTCTGGGTCACACTCAGGTCGGGAAGTGGAGTCCTCCACCAGGGTCGGTGGTCACCTCAGGTCGGGAAGTGGGTAGTCCTCCACCAGGGTGGTCACTCAGGGTCGGGAAGGTGGAAGTCCTCCACCAGGGGGTCTGTGGTCACCTCAGGTCGGGAAGTGGTAGTCCTCCACCAGGGGTCGGTGGTCCACTCGGGTCGGGAAGTGGTAGTCCTCCACCAGGGGTCTGTGGTCCACTCAGGTCGGGAAGTGGTAGTCCTCCACCAGGGGTCGGTGGTCACCTCAGGCGGGAAGTGGTAGTCCCTCCACCAGGGGTCTGGTGGTCCACTCAGGTCGGGAAGTGGAAAGTCTCCACAGGGGTCGGTGGTCCACTCGGTCGGGAGGTGGAAGTCTTCCACCAGGGTCGGTGGTCACTCGGGTCGGGAGGTGGAAGTCTCCACCAGGGGTCGGTGGTCCACTCGGTCGGGAGGTGGAGTCCTTCCACCAGGGGTCGGTGGTCCACTCGGGTCGGGAAGTGGAGTCCTCCACCAGGGGTCGGGGTCCACCTCAGGTCGGGAAGTGGTAGTCCTCCACCAGGGGTCGGGTGGTCCACTCAGGTCGGGAAGTGGAGTCTCCCACCAGGGGTCGGTGGTCCACTCGGGTCGGGAAGTGGTAGTCCTCCACCAGGGGTCTGTGGTCCACTCAGGTCGGGAAGTGGAAGTCCTCCACCAGGGGTCTGTGGTCCACTCAGGTCGGGAAGTGGAAGTCCTCCACCAGGGGTCGTGGTCACCTCACGGAAGTGGTAGTCCTCCACCAGGGGTCGGTGTCCACTCGGGTCGGGTGGAAGTCTCCACCAGGGGTCGGTGGTCCACTCAGGTCGGGAAGTGGTAGTCCTCCACCAGGGGTCGGTGGTCCACTCAGGTCGGGAAGTGGTAGTCCTCCACCAGGGGTCACAGGTCGGGAAACCAGTGTGTCCACTCAGGTCGGGAAGTGGTAGTCCTCCACCAGGGGTCGGTGGTCCACTCAGGTCGGGAAGTGGTAGTCCTCCACCAGGGTCGGTGGTCACTCAGGTCGGGAAGTGGTAGTCCTCCACCAGGGGTCTGTGGTCCACTCAGGTCGGGAAGTGGTAGTCCTCCACCAGGGGTCGGTGGTCCACTCGGGTCG